TGATAGATAGCCAACGAGGCGCTACGCGCCTGGTCGGCTATAATCATTTCATATCCAACAAGAGCGAGTGGAATAATTGTTTTATTAAAAAAAACGCCCCAAAGATATTAGACATATCTTCTCGACTTTATTTTGTAATAAGAAATCGGATGACACAATGTACAGATATTAGATTATGGTATATTGGCTCATATACCATAATGGCTAAGCCAATTAGAAGTCTTGAATTGCATTATCCAATGATCCAGTTTTTAATAAATTTATTTATACCGTTGCTGATTCATATGGTAACAATGTATCACATCTGCAGCGATTTATATCGACACTGCGAAGCTTTCCAGTCGTTCATTACCGGGAGTAAAAAGAAAAAATAAGAAGTGAAACATCAACGACAACAAGATATACAAAAAATTGACCCAGAAAGGCACGGTTTGAAAGTGTGGAAGTCGAGGCATACTTAGTCTGCACACGCTATAAGCAATAGAAGTTATCTTTTTAGTTGTAAAAAACGAAGCTAGTGGCCTTGCTATTAATCGAGTCTTGCCATATATATTGTACCTGAGTTCTGAGTCCTGAAGCCCCCTCTTCACTCCCCTTAATTAAGGATAACAACGGTGCCGCTGAGCAACGTTGTTAGGCTAAACGACGAGGGAAAGACTGTTGACGACCAGCCAGAGCTTAGCTAACCCTCATCATTAAATATTTTTGTTTATATTACTTGAATTATCAGGCAATCGCCTATCTCTAAGCTCATTTTTACCCCGCTGAGATGACCCGTCAATCTGTCTGATTACGTGGTCGTTGACTGGTTAAGTTTTGGTTTGCGTTGTGCGCGCATGCGTTTGAAACTTCCATTTCGTCATCGCTGGATGTATAACAAACATCTACATTTCCACTTGATTGGTACAAACAATTTTTTTTCCTCTCAAGGTCACAAAATCCCGCTGAGACGAACACTCGGTCATCGTATCCGTTTGATAGTACGGGGCACTGATTGGTCCGGTTAGAGAGGTGTTTTCCTCTAGGTTTTAAGTCCCAGCATGGTCCCAGGGTGCATTGACAAGAATCAGTTATATTAATTAAAATAAACCAAAAAGGCTTGCTCTCAAGATTATCGTAGCGCACCCGTATAGTAACCTTTTGTTAGAATTTCCTGCTTTCTCATGGTTCCTGTAACAAAGTGCAATAGGCAGCGTATTTCATCGAGCCTCAGACGCAGTGAAGTAAAAAGCGAGCGAAACAAATCTGAATCAACTAGGGTTTGGTGTTACCTCTTTTGAAGGAGCGTCATAACTGAAATAGAACTAGTTCTAATAGTAAATGAACGAATGCGTTGAAACCATTATTGGCCGAATTCGTAACAGATAAAATTGTTCTCTTCTCAGCAATTTTCAAATTGCTGAACTTGTTAAAGAAATACGCGAGAAACACAGTAACATCAAAGACAAAACATTTAATAGAAGCCATGGTCTAGCGCCAGACTAAGTCTTTGTATTACAATTTTCTCTGATATACATATATATATATATATATATATATATATATATATTGGATTACAATTTTCTCTCATATAGCAGTTGTTCATTTCCACTTCAGTTGTCGATATGATTCAGAACTGTTGCTTGTTGACTAAGACAAGTTTTAGAAGGTAAAAGAAACAAAGACGAACCAGCTTAAAGCAATACGTCTCGTTAGTGTAACCATTAAAAGTATTACGAGATTCCGACCCTAGTTTATTGATCATATTGTGTATTTTTTTTTTTAGCAGGGTATTAAGAACGCTTTTTTTTTTTCTAATGAACGTCAACTTAGTAACGCTTCTAACTTGAAATTTATTTTGAATCAAAATGCTGGCTTTCTTCTATGGTTCTGTTAGTTTAGATATAACGCTAACTAACAGGTGTTGATATTTTTTTTAAGTGATCAAAAGTAGAAATATTTTGCTTTTAACCTCATTAAGAAGTAACTCATTTGCTCTGCGATTGTTATCATAAACGACCTTAAAAAATTTGTCCTAGTGTATTGCTGAATTTTATGGTTACGGAAAGGTTCATTTGGTGCTTTCTTGCTATTAAATTAAACTAAAATGTCTCTGTACCTAAAATAGGGTTAGTGGTAATGTTTTGTTGGGTGAATCTACTATTGCTATCAATTAATAAGGCTTCTGTAAAAGTGAAGCAGGTATTATATCATAGTGTTATTTTCTACAAACAACTTTACACCTAGAGAAGAGAAATTTGTAATCCGTGAATAGTTGGTGTGAAAGTTTGATATCAACCCAAATCATGCAAATTGCGGGCGCATCTAAGAAATTCACGACGGAAATAAAAGTGAAAAGTGTAAGATTTGAAAAAAAACTCAACTGGTTTTACCGGAAAAAAAGTTTCGTATACCTGCCCTAGTTTTGCACTTAGATGAAAAACAAACAGTAAAGTAGGATGATGAATAAATGTATGGGGATGTCTGAGTGTATTAATCTGGCGATTGGAGAGGCTTGGTCTTTTGTCAGAATTCCCCTCATGGGTGAAGATCGTCCTTGACTTGGGCGGCCCCGGCATGAGGGTTTTGTTTCTACTCCTGTAAGTACGAATGAATCTTAAACATTTTTATTTTATGGCGTATGGATTGACTAGCTTTTACCATGAGCTTTCTTTTCGTGATTTCATGATATAGTTTAGATTTACAGTGAGAGTAAGGTTAGATTAACTTGTAAAAACTTATGTAGGGTTTATTGGAAGCGGCTCTGCGAGAGCAACGTTAGATTAACTAGTAAAAATTTATGTAGGGTTTATAGGAAGCGGCTCTGTGAGAGTAATGTTAGATTAATTTGTAAAAATTTATGAAGGGGTAATAGGAAGCGGCTCTGTGGCTGTTGATCTCAGATCGTGTTCGATTTTTCCTTCTTTTTCGTGAGCCCCAATTTTTAAATATGAAATTGATATAATACTGGTTATAGCTGATTATGGTGTTTGGTTATGGTAGTTGTCGGGGAGCGTTTTCAGATCTAGTTTTTACTTCTATGATAAGTTCAACTTCGGGTCGGAGTTTAATCGTACGTTGTAAGAACTGAAGTTTTTGTGATATTAACCATTTTGAGAAACGGGTTAGTGTTTGCTCTACTGACGAACCCCTTCAATATATGAAAGAGAAAAAGGCTATTCGAGCGATACGATTGAATTGATTTCGTTAAACATTCTAGGTCAAACCAGCTAGGTCGATCAAGTGATTATCAAACGACGATTGGGAAAGTGATTATCAAACGATGATCGGGAAATGATTTGCCATTGATAATTTAACAAATTTTGATGTATGCATATATATTAGATCGTGATTGCGATCAAATAACCTTTTATAAATTATGGCTGACTAATCTCACGAATTCAGGTGTTTCTAGCATCATAAAGTAATTACTGTTAATGATAAAAATTTCCATCGAAGATTTATAATTAACCGTTAAACTGAATTAATCGCTATTCGGAAATATAAAGAACTGCAAGTAGCTACAGCAGTGTGTTCTAGTTGCTTACGTACGCGAACATGTATCCTAACACATGCTATTATATAACTGGACGAGGTATAAGCGTAGCATAAACTGAATCCATAAATAGTTTACCCCTAAATGTTTTAACTGCAGGTGATTTTAAACATGTACCTGTAAAGAACACGACTTCAAGATCAACTTGATGTGATCAGTATTTGTAAACCTTGATCATTTTACCAACGTTATTTAGTATAAACCACACAGGTGAACGTTACTCTTCGCGTGCGCTGATTGGCTGGTTCGGAAGTGATTAGCAGGTACTATTGACCTCCGAGAAACCAAAGAGACAGAATCGCGCGTAAATATATTTAATTTCCGACCTCTTTTTTGGTATAAGGACAGGAATAAAATAACCTTTTTGATTTCTATCACCTCAGTATCGGTGAAAGTGATGGATATTTACAGCGACGCTTCGCAGCGAGGTAAATATCCATGATTATTTACCTCCACTTCGGTGAATAATTGTTGAATAGGAAGAGGATGGCAAAAAAGCGATATAAAGCAAATGGTTAACTTACTCACTGGTGCTCATGATCATATTGTGAATATTAAAGCAGTCATTGTATCCAGCAAGCAGGTTTTATTTGTGAAATAGACGAATGGCTGAACAAATGATCACCGATATCCTAATAAAATATAAATACCAGCTGGTACCATATTTTCATATTTCAAAATATGAAGACTTGTAAGCAGGTTTCTTACACGACTCGGGCAGTCAGAGGGCCAATAACTAAAATCAACCAATCAAAATGCTCTATTCCCGGTCCAATATTCTCTAAGTATTGGACCGGGCACTGTCCCGAATGGTCCCGAATGATACCACACTTGTGTCCCTTTGAACTTCAGTCGTATAATAAATCTCTTATTAAACCAAGCTTGCTCGGGACCGTACTGGAAGAACATCGGCCCTCGGTCTTTTTTGTACGGACCTCGCTGCGCTCGGTCCGTACTGTCAAGACCTCGGGCCAATATTCTCTTAGTATGGCCCCCGCGCTTGGTTAATAAGATATATGTAAAACTTCTATGGATATATTTTATCGAACGCGAGTCAGAGAAAGTTCGTCTTTTTAGTCAAAAAAAAGTTAACAGGAATTTATACCTACTTTGTATTTGTTATTATGGCTTTCCTTGCTCACTACAAGAGTGTTGCACAAATGCATGAACCGGCTGGTTCTTCTTTTGATGGATAATGCCTGCTTTTAAGGGCAATGCCTTTTCCATGATGTGATCCGCTCTCCTTACTTTCCAGACCAAAACTTGCGACTCATCAGAAGGGGGTTCAGAGAAATCTAGAAAACGGGGGCCGAAAAATTGAGACTACGACCTCAATCCCTACCACATCAATATCCATTAAAACGATCCAGTGGTACTGAACACACTCAGAAATTCAAATACATCAGATAAACTCTCTTATGACTTGCCACCATGATGCTGAAAACACCTTGTCTTCCATTTTGCCATTTCCGTTGGATTTAGTGAAGGGCTTAAATAAAACCTTCAAACGACAGTTGCATCATGTGAATCATTTTTTTGATCGAAGTTGATAACAAAACCTAAATTATGAACCTACCTTTTTTCACAGTAGTGAGGGATAGATGTGTAGTCATGTAGGAAGTCTTAAGTCTACGTCGGCAATACGCAGTTGTGATTACTAATTTGTAAACGCAATGCCTAATGGTTTGACAGAGAAGCATTCAACAAAACCATTTAAATTTTATCGCCACCAGATAAAAATACAGCTTTGTCTATAACAGACCGGCTTTTGGGATTTAAAAGAGTAACAATACATTTAGAACATCTTTAATCTGCCTAAAAACACTTCATTGCGAATCTTGCTCAGCAACGTAGCCGCTTACCAGTGATATATCACAGTCTTGTTGTTCCTTTTCCGTTATCCTGGTGATCTGATTGAACATTTACGAGTTACACAAATTGCATTTTTGACTCAAATAATGATTTTTTTTTCATATCAAGTCTAGAGTACCAGCTGTTGTTTTTCGCTTTTGGCCCGTTTATGGAATTTTTTTCCAAGAAAGGGTATTTAAAGACAATTTTCGAACGGTTGAGTCAGTAACTGGAATGTCAAACCGCGGTTATTAGTAAATTTTTGCATTCATCTTTTTACTGGCGAAAATGAAAACGATATGTTTTCGGGGTTCGGGAACTAACCTCTTTATTAGTCCAAGGATTTCACGATAATTTCTTAAAACTAGTTGAATTTCTTGGCCTTCTTAACTTTATCTCTTCTATCCAAAAACTGAGATAACACGAAATTCCTTTCGTATAAAGGATAGTTGTCTTTTAGCACCGATACTGTGACAGTAACATTTGTGTTTACTTTTCATTTCCCGAGGATAACCAACTTACTTATGTTTCAGTTATGGAGTGGCCTTTGTTACGAGTGATATTCGCTCAGCTGCACATTCTTCCGATGGAAAAGATTCTGACTTTGAGAGTCATCATTCAGTCCGTGTTAAAAGGACTTTACCAGAGGACATCACAAAACGAAATGGAGCTCAACTGAACAACGGTAAGTTAGGTGGTCTGTGTTGGATTGAATTTGGTTAAGGGCATAATGTTTCTCGTCTGCACCTTAAACTAACAGGTTTGTTTCTAAAACGCGTCTATGTAGAGCCAGAAGAACCCATCCATGACGCGATGACCAATGCTACCCAGGCTGACGCAGGTATTTTTTACGCATTTCTCATATCTTTTGTCAGTTACCCGAGTGTTCCATGGATTTACTTTTGTGTAACTGGGTTCTAATGACTCAGAATACTATTCTATGTGACTTAACGCGTTCAACAAGCTGTGTAGAGGGGTCTCGTTACATTGTTTGCATCAACCCATCGTACTTGAAAAAGTTGTGGCAAAAATAAAAAGGAAAATGGTTGAGTCAATGAATAGGCAAACGATTTTAAAAAAACGGACAAAAAAAACTAATGAATGAAGAAACGAAAAAGGGATATCTGAAAGTAAGAAAAAACAGAAAACCCTCGGTTATAGTTGGCAGTTGTAAAATGAAAGTGAAATACGTTAAAGTTTCTCAGTGTGTATGTAATGTCAATTCTTTTCCTTTTAATATATCGTGAAGTATTTTTGAGGGGACCATTGTTGGTTGGCTCGGAGAAAGGTTACACTTGACTCGTCATATTTAACTTTCTTTCAGCTTCCAGTAAGCGCTTTACAGTGAACACTCGCTATGGACGACTACGTCTAAGTGGTAAGCAACCATCCATGTAGATCACCAAAGACGTATATAAAGCCGAAAAAACGAGAACGAGGCCATACCTTTCGATCCGCAGTCCAAAGCGTTAGTTGAGTCGCGGACTCCCGCGTTTCCCATTTATCTCTAGGGAAGTCGGGTTATGAATGCTTGGTCCGCCATATTCATAGTTGTAAAGACCTAGTTACAAGAATAAGGGAGTGATACTATGGTATATATATGGCTGCGAAATATTTGCCTTTTGGGTTATGTTCTGGAAAAGTGTTCTGCACATTTCTAATGAGGAGCATTATGTCTTTTAGGCCTTGGACGTAAGCCCAGACTGGCCCACATCTGCTTCAGTAAACGTAAGTTAAATATCTTAATCTCTTCTCAAATCCTGACGGCTGCATGCTGCAAAGGAAGGGCTGAGGGCTTTCCTCTTGATTCCCGCCCTATTTCCCCAAAGACTTAACACCAGTATTAAGATGTTGAAACATACATAACATAAGACTACAGAACAGTTTTTAAGTTTTGCTTGCCGCAGAAACACGTTCAGTACTCAACCGGAGTTAGGTAAGCGTTCAAAAGGAGAGTAACACTGGCAAGAGCGGTGCGTATCTTGCCCACGGAATCCGCACGGTGGAATCTTAGCTTTTAAAATGATGCGGAAAATATTATGGAAAATCGAAACTTACTGGATCAAAACACCATGACATTAACGTTTTATTATTTTTTGATCCGTAGATTGGAGACGACACGTGAATTTAGTGAACGTTTGTCTGACTGTCCGAGGTTAGTAACGAAGTAGACCTGCTGTTGTAATTACTTTGTCGAGGTTTATTGCGCGACAATGACAAAGACACGTCCGCTTTATATTTTTAGAAGCATTGGTCTGTTGGAATGTGGTTACGTGTAAACACGGCACTAGAAATTAACTTATTTACATAATTTAAATCAACTTCCACAGCTCGACGAAGACGACGTTTGCGAGGATTACGAGGTAGGTATATCTTTCTCGAAAAGGTTTAGAATTCTTATATCCATGTTTACATGACATGATTAGTTAGTTCTTGCACCTCGCTCTCTCGACCAAGTTTTTTTGGCCTGTGTCCAAAAGTATAAAATGTGGCCCGTCATTCTTGCATGGTTTATCAGAAATTTCTGGTATCATTCGACTGACAACATTGTATGTCGTTAGTACATTGTTGATAGGTATGAATATTCGGAGCACAAATCAAAATGGTTCTTAATAACTGTTAACCAAAGTGGAGATAGCTAGTGGTGGATATTTACACCGCCAGCCACCGACACTGAAGGGAATAGTTGGTTCAAGAGAGATAATAAGCACACAGAAACGATCTTAACTAATTTATTCCTGCAACGATTGAAATATTTTCGAGCGCAAATCCTGCGCGATTTGCTCGGAGGTGAATAGCAAAGAATATTCGGAGCTTGAGTAGCCAAACAGAGCGCGCCTTAAACGCTATCCACTATTAAGGATATACTAAATTCATTATTCTTTGACATTTCATCCTCAGGATGGCGCCGTAGAAGAATTCTCTTCAAAGGTCGATACCATACAGTGCGACGATGGAAGAGAGTTTGGAGAGTACATGTTGGAAAGCGCTGGTTCCGAGTTCGTTGAACAGGCAGATATCAAATTTATGTCATCAACACGTGGTCGACGTTGATACGGCGTCGTGGTCGGTGGTACGTCAGATACAAACGTGTACTTCACAGAATTATTCGGCAAGGTATGCGTTGGTACATTAGGTATCGACGAAAACTGTAACGTCTCCGAAGAAAACCGACTACTTGGCGAATACGTTTTGGCCGAAGGTGGTGCCGCCTGAAACGACGTAAAAGAAAGTTCTTTATATTGTTAAATAAGCGGTGGCGACCTATTCGTTCCCGCTTCAAATGGCGCATTACTTACCATGGTCGACCCATCATGGTCAAGAGGAAAGGAAATCGTTTCCAACCGAGGTATGGCGGTCGAAAGCTCAAGTGGCGTCGTGGATATAGGCGTAAGTTTGTTGAAATATATAATTAAGATTACGAAAATAAAGCAACCTACACAAAGTGTTTTTTTCTATTATTGTGTGATCCTCAAGAGTGGCACCGTATATTAGGTACATCTATCCATCTATTCAGCTATCTAGGTTGCTAACTACCAAGCAAGCTAGCTGTCTCTCTCTAAATCTATCTATCTATTTGTTTCATATAATAAAAAAGCAAAATGTTTTTAATGTTGTCATCATCTACGCATCTGTCCTCCAATACATCAGATGAACGAACCAATCAAAATGCCTGTATAATTCAGCTTATCATAAAACTATCTATTTTTGAATACGAAAGACATCCTATTTTGTGTATAAACCACTACTTAAGCTGAAAATAACTTACAAACCGCAAGGAATCGTTTCTTAACTTTTTAAGGGCTTTTTTTTTACACAGGAAGGCCAGTCCGACGTCGACGAAGATACAAAGGAAGACGTGAGTGTAACCCACTGAAGTTAAAGTATAACTAGTCTCATTGCGAACTCTGTCAAAGGAAACCTCCAAAGCTCAAATAAATCCCTGTCAAATAGACAAAAATGAAATGAATAAAGGCTGAAAGTTTCTAAAGAAACTGTGATGCTGCGTCGGTGGGGGTAACAAGGTAATTGGTTATATCAACTAAGTTGAAATTGTAAATTGGCCACTTCGTCAGAGCGACAAGGGCTAACGCTCGAAACGTCAGCTTTTTTATTCGGCCAATTTACAATTTCAACTCAGTTGATATCACCAAAAATCAGGAAATGAGAATGGAAAGTTAATTGAAAGCCAACACCAGTTTTAGAAAAATTTGGAAACAAATACAGTTTTTTTTGTCGATGATGCTTTGCTATCTATGAGGTGCCAATTTATCATGTATTACTTTATGTGGTTTCTGGATTTTTTCTTCGCTGCTTTTGTTTTCAGGAATGCGGCCTAAGGGAATAATAAAAAGAAAAGTCGCAGGCACGATGCCACTCATTTCACGATTGATACTTATTTTGCGTTTTTGTCAAAAATTCCAAATTTACGGAACGAGTTCAATCAGTTGATGGAAATTTTTTCTAACGCTGATGACTTTTTCCCATGAGGCAAATATTACACTTATTGAGCTTGGAGTTGTTATGAATGTGTTTTTTTTTTATCATCGGAATAAATGAATGCTTTAAAAATCAGAATCGTAGCTGCATGTTATCTCAAAAGATCAAATTTGACTAAATTATCCCTAACACTAGCGCACACTTGGTCACTAATCTTTTAATTTTCTTCAGCTGAGTCACGCTGTTCCACAGCGTAACACAGAAGTTCTAGTAAGTTATTAAATGAATAACTCTCAACCAAATTGAGTGAAAATCAAAATATTTCGACTCTTTTTGTAAGCCTATAACAACTGCTTCTCGATGCCGCTCCCTGGTGACCCAGCTTTTGGGCATTCACCTCAGTCTGATTTATTATATTGTTATTATTATTATTATTATTATTATTATTATTATTATTATTATTATTATTATTATTATTATTATTATTATTATTTATTATATTGTTATTATTATTTAAAATTGTTTTTGAAAACGTGAAGGTGGGAGACGAAACCGTAAGAGATACCAAAGGCGGCGAAGGCGGCGAAGGCGAAGGAGACGAAGAAACAGGAGGAGAAGACGACGGCAAAGGCGAAGAAGAAGACGTAAGATTAACAAATAGATTCAATGTTGTCGTACTTCTGTTCAGTAATAGAATACAGATGCCGTCAATATGAAGTAACAACAAAAACGTTGCACGCGAGGCACAGGCAAGTGTGCCATGTGTTGATCAGTTCAAAGCTTTGAACACGAAGGCGCGCTATATAAGGAAGTCTTCCCTGGGAAGACCTAGGCTCATTTGTCACTCACCGTTGACGTGTGCGGGTCAAATTCAAATGCTGGTAGACGAACAAAAGGAGCTAATGAGATATCTATTGTTTACTTCCACCAGCATGGTGGCATGAGGTAACGTGCGAACCACCTACTTCGATCTCAAATTTACCGCCACAAATAAAGACAGTTTCCATTGGAGAAAGGAAATACAAATCTCAAAAATTCTTGTATTGTGATGAAGACATAAAACAATTTTGAGGAATGCGCCCGCTGTTCACTGCTTNAAGCTCCCCCTCTCTAAGCTCCCCTCTCTAAGCTCCCCCTCCCTAAGCTCCCCCTCCCTCTCTCTCCGATAAGCTTCCGTCCTCTTCCTTCTTTCGAAAAGCCTCTGAGATTGTTCTCTAAATTTTTACTTGCATTAGGATGCATTGATTAGTTTCTGTTTTGATTTTTGTGGGTTTTCCAACCTAATGTGCACGGCGGTCAATAAAGGCAGCAGACGAAAAGAGGAAAAGTATGGACTCGTATGGTTAGCTCTAATCAGTGACTTTTTTAATGACCCCCTCCCCACACCACCCCTCTCTTTCTCTCTTAAAAGCCAAGATGTAACACACAAAGCTCTCTTCTCCCCACTCCCTGGGGCTCATTTGAGGCCAGTGGTTTACGGTATCGCTTTAATGTCGTAAATTTTCGAAATCAGCATTATATTATTTTTTCTTGATCACTTTTATTACTCTCTTCAGGATTTACCTACGTGACTGTTCGCAGTGAAGGTTTCGAAGACCGAAAGAACGGGCGGATGCTAGCTGGTCGCGCTCGCGCTTACATCAAGGTGAACAATGTAGAGAAGTCTCTCGGCCGCCGTGGTATCAATGTTGTGGTTATTAGCAAAAAAACAGGTGAGCTAAGACAGCGTATACAAATAAATTTTGTATAGACTACTGTTTTTCTCAGCCCTTGTATGTTACAGTTACTAAATTGGTGGGGATAATCAGAGTTTTTATTTGCTTTCTTCGGCTTCAAAAAATATAACCTACCTGTAAACGAAACGCCGAATTTACTCGAGTAGCCAAACTATTCAATAAGGAGTTTTTCTTACGCTGATTGATCTTTTGGGAAGAACTACCTTTGGCTATAGAATGATGATAAATTTTACGTCATAGCGTTTACGTAAAAAAGTTGTGGATTGAATTGGAGTTGCATGAGAGTAGTTGATAAGAGTGTCTCAGCCGTCATGACCACACCTACCAGTTTATTTTTGATTCATCTGCCAAGTGTTTAGTCTTTCTCAGCTTCTAGGCTCTGGAAACCTTTGTTTCATTTGAGAAATTATTCGTTTGATATTATCAAATGAATGAAGAAGGAACTGAGACTCGGCACCAAGTGATTATTTGTCATATATGATTTTACTTCATCAGGTCGTACCTTACGGAGAATTTCCTTTGACACCCATGGCAACATTAACCATGCAAAACGGTTTTACCGCTTCATACGAAGTATCAGAAGAGGGTATGTAAAACATTCCATATATTTTGACAACTCAAAATGAACCATAATTATATTTCAATAATGTTTGGCTGGGAATCATTCCTTGGTCGTTACATGTCGCCGAATTGGTCACATATGTGTGTTCGCATGCAATTCATGAGTGCTTACAATGTTGCGTTTATAAAGTCCTTCTTCAGTCCACTACCCCCGTCCCCCTCCCCTCTGTTTGCAACCTTGCGCGAGGTGCTGGCATCAACAGATTTTACGTAAGGTAAATCATAGGGATCATTATGAGGAGGTCCATTAAAGCTGAGCTCATTTGTCATTGTTCTGATTTCAATTATTTGCTAGGAGAATCGTGGCGGTTTCCGTTCAGGATGAAGCATTTAGGTATGGACGACGATACCTCACTGTTTTGCGGAAAATTGGCGCAAATGGAAGAAAATTTAGGTTTGGCTACAGGGGTAGTTATGCTCTAGTAGGGTACAAAGGCCGTCGCCAATGGTGGATCAAGGAGAAAAGCCGCCCGCGAAGGAAAGGACCCGTTGCAGTATATGCTCGCATCCCTAAAACGAGAAGTAAGAAATATTGTTATGGCTTGAACTACGTTTTAGAGGCGTAAACGCACTAAGAATTCTTAGAAGTTCTTAACTCTTCCTTTGTATGGAACAGAGAGATCTTCACTCGAGGTAACTGGTTCAGAAGAGCCGGTTAGAATTTTTCGATGTTCCCGTAACTCAAAAAATACTTGGGTCCCGTCGATAAGGTACAAGAGCGTTTCTGGATGTCTTCTAGTGCTTTCCACGTGGCTGTACACCGGTGTTACTTTACCTATGGGCTAAGGGGGTTGAGTTTGCGGAAGAGTAAAATTTAGTTCATTTCAAGAAAAAAGACTCTTAAACATGGTTGAAGGTTGAATGGAGAGATAAATAAACCCAGATTGGTAATCAGCATGACTGGTCGGAAGAAATATCTCTACTTTCGTTAGTTCCTCTCATTGGGGGAGAAAATGGCACGAAAATTTTTAGTCAATTACAGAGAGTTGTTAGGGAAAACTAATGTAATTCTTGGATACTTTTGACCCTCGATTTAATCATGATAGTAGTTGTTTTGAACGCTTACCATCTAACAAGTTGAATTCCAACACGGCACCCTGACAGCTGTTTTATATGAGGAAAACCGAAGGCGATAAAGAGGTCAGAGGAAACTTTTGAGAGCAAGGGGTAGCAAACAGGAAGGGGGCCATTGTGTGCATACGCTCTTACCTCTTTGGCAGGAGTGAAAACATAAACCCACATAGTAAAAGAGCTTGACATGTCCTAAATTGTTTGGTAAGAAATTTTTGAAGGACTCCCTACAGTAACATCATAATACACACCAGAAACGAGTTTAACCTCGAATATTTTTCAACCTGACTCCTGCGGTCTGCGCGTATATCAGTCCCCCTGGAATTAATCAAACATCTTTTACTTATTAAACATGGTTCACTTTTTATTTCAAAAGGACGAAGATATGGAAGGCGATTTAGAAGACGTATGTATCAATTTTGCTTCCATTAACGTTGAAAACGATGAATTTCACTCTAGGTTGAAAGAATTAATTTGGATGTCAGCAAAAAAATGGCAAATATAAAAAAAAGCCTTCTAAACAAGCTTTAGTATCGCACACATGCGCCTCTGCTGAACGGATGATATAAGCACAAGTAGCATTCACAGTGCTCTCATCTTTAGGATATATGAGATGAGGACAATTGCAATATTTGATTCACCCGCCATTGTCCAGAAAAGCAAAGTTCCCTGATATCATGTTTTAGCTATAGTGAGTGCCATCCTCTTCTCTTTTCTTGCCCGGATCATCTTTATATGTTTGTACCTCAAGCATGGCGCCGCGCTAAAAACATTCTTCTGCCAGAGGAGATTAAGCCTCGCAGCTCTTGTTTAGTGTGACGAGATCAAACAACGGCTGCGAAGGAGCCTTATAACCATCTTAGTTTTTCCCAGGTTATCGAATGGTATTTCCAATTTGTTTTCGATCGCGATATCTTAAATTTACCTTAAAACGCGTTGTGGAGAGCTTTCTCGCAGATAACTCAAGATTGTTCGAGATCGTTATCGTTTTAGCCATAGCTTCTATTACTGCTAGAGGAGAAGTCTTATTCGTTCAATTTTCGTTTACAGGAAGAATATATTTGTCTGTTGAAAGTCAAGGCTTTGTTGATAAAAAACGTGGACGCACTTTGTATGGCCGCTCGCGGGCCTACATCAGAGTCAATGGAAAAGATTACTCTCGACACAGGCGTGGTTTTAATGTTGTTGTTCTCAACTACAAATCTGGTGAGGACATGTATTTTTACAATTATGGAGAATATTTTAAGTTCATCAGTTATTATACTTATATTAATCGTTAATCGTATTTTTTCGCACACGGCATGTGGGCCTGCCATGTTAAAATGACTTAAGGTTTGACAGCGTTTTTTGTCATAGTTTTGGAAAAAAATAAGATTTAATTATGGCGCGAAAGAAGCTGAACTCAGGCAATAACAACTTAGGTCATATATGCAATATAAACGTATAAATAGAGCCTACTAGTGTCACCCGTCAAGTCTTATTTAAAGCCGTTGTATACCAGTGATAATTGATGGTTGTTTCATGGAAAGAGCCTTGATATCAGTGAAATAATAGCGAAAAAAAGAAACAGCTTACAATGCATTAGTCACAAACGACGGATAGGTAGCCGAGTTGTCATGTCTGATTTCGGTTATAGAGTCTCATCTATCAACCACCGCCACGGACACAAAATCCTTTTCGTCACCAATCTTTTATGTTTTGAATATCAGGCATACGCTTTGTATGCGGTGAGTTTCGCCTGAATATGGAAACTTGCGACGCTTGCCATGTGGGTTGAAATAAATACCACAAGCACAATTCATGCGTTATTAAGAACTTTTTGCTATTGTATTCCAAAAGGTCGTATTGAGGCGAGGCGATCTTTTGACACTCATGGCAGCCGTTATGCAGCAAAGAAATTCAAGCAGTTTATTTCTAGAATCAGGCGGGGGTGAGTACATAATTGCATAACTGTATTATAGATTTCTTTCTACGGTTTCAACTCAGGAGAAATCCTCTGCTTGTAATTTCCATTGTTGTTATTCAATACCTTGTGTTTTGCTTAAGCCTTGTCGCAAGGGTTGGTACTTCATATGCCGCCACGTGTGTTTGAACAATTTTTTTAATAACAACTTTGAATATTCCGTTCCACTCGTGTAAGGATTTGGTCGAATCTGATACTACTGTCTCCAACAGCTTTCTAACTGAAACAGGGACAGGTTTTTACGGCTTAGATAGCAGACCTTTAGCATAACTTCCGCCCGTAAACTCCTACTTACCAGCCCCGGGCTGTCTGTGATTGAAATCTTACCTGTGAAAGCGGATTTCGTATTACAATAAGAGCTTCTTATAATGATCACAAGAGGATGAAGCAGGAACCATCCCAAACACAATTGATATCTCTTCCAGGGAATTATCTTTAATCTTTTGATAATTTCTCATTGTCATCACAGGAGAATTGTATTACTCGCCATCCAAGATGAAGCATATCGGTTTGGAAGATATTACAAGTACGTCCTCAAAAGGCTTCACATCAACCCACGCAGTATAAGGCTCAGTTACAGAAGTAGTCTTGCCTTAATCGGTTATGTGGGTCGGCGCAGACCATATTGGGTTAGATATATGAGTCGACCTCAACCACGAGGCCCAAGTTACGTAAGGATTCACATCACAGTGAGGGGACGGAGACCAGGTATAGTAGGTTTTATAAATATATAGAGGTGATTGAAATAATAATAATAATGATGATAAACAATTATTCTCCGAATTGGAGATGAATAATCGTTTAAGTATGCTACGCAGAAACCAAAAAAAAAAATTAGTACTTGCTAATCACTTCAGAACCAGCCAATCAGCGGGTGCGAGAGGCACTATTCACCTGTGTGGTATATACTAATAATAATTGTGATACGATCCACTTTTTTCTGAGTAAAACACAACGCTTTATAAAAAGCGATAATCAAGTGGCCCCCTTTAAATCTCCTAAATATCTCTTCATTTTCCGAAAAAATCGTATTAATTGAATTCGTAGAATTAGCTCAATCATAAGCTTCCGAAAATTTCTTCAATAGTAACCAACAACGCCATCATAAATTTTTAGATTTTTCTTTTTTGAGAATCTTGGATTAAATTTGACAGTCACTAGCTTTCTGCCAATAAGGGAATTTAAGTCGACTTTCTCTGTAGAGAGTTCGCGGATTATCATCATTAAAACATTAATTTTCTAATTTTAGTACGAAGAGTTATCAGATACCGTGGACGACGCTGTGTGATTAGAAGAAGAAAGACATATAGCGTTCGCATTGGCCGGAAGAAGAAGATCATCGGACGATTTATACGTAAAATAAGAATCAAATTGTTACGAAAATACAGGAAGATAAGGCGCATTCGTCGCCGTTGGCGTGTGCGTATAAGGCGACGTTGGTGTGGCCTGCGAAAACGCGGTAAGCGCTGGTTTTATCGTTGGCGGAAACGTTGGAAGAAAATAAGACGCGTTAGACTGACTTGTCGTATAGGAGGTCGAAGACGCAGAGTTCGACTCCGACGAGGAAGATGGCTCCTTCGAGGCAAGAGACGCTGGAGACTTTTCAAGCATCGCGTCACAAGGTACATCAGATATCGAAGAAAGAGGGTCATCGTGAGAAGAGCCAGAAAAGGGTATCGCGTACAAAGAAGAAACGGCAAATATGGGAAAATAAGGAGGTTCAGAACTCTTTACCGCCGTAAGTATTGAATAGAGAAAGACCGGGGTTTTTGAGAGGAAGCGGGAAGGGAGAAATAATGGAAGGGAATTTTTGAGCTAAGCTCCTACTGAAAGAAGCAAAGAGCGCGCTCAAAGGGCAAATGCAAACACCCTAAAAGTTTGCTTATGTGCCTCACTTGAATGTCGTTTTTTGAGAGCAGGTTTTAAGCTTGAGTTTTTTTAAGTTGTGTGACGAGAACAAACAACGGTTGCGAATGATACTACAATGTGGGCTAAAAAAAAACAAATTTATGAGATGAATGAAATGTATGTGTAGGATAGAATTAATGTGAATGTCAGTAATCAGCTGCTGACACCATCTACTGCCAACAATGGACCACTGGATTGTATGCAACGAAGGGATATCCAAATTAAAGAACTTAGAACAGAAAATCCTTTTTCGAACTGTGTGAGTCAGTAGATATATATCTTATTAATCAAGCGCGAGGGCCGTACTGGGAGAATATCGGCCCGAGGTCTTGACAGTACGGACCGAGCGCAGCGAGGTCCGTACAAAAAAGACCGAGGGCCGATATTCTTCCAGTACGGTCCCGAGGAAGCTTGGTTAATAAGCGATTTATTATACGACTGAAGTTCAAAGTGACACAAGTGCGGTATCATTCGGGACCATTCGGTACAGTGCCCAGTCCAATACTGAGAGAATATTGACCGGCAATAGAGCATTTTGATTGGTTGATTTTAGTTATTGGCCCTCTGACTGCCCGAGTCGTGTAATAAATATGTTATTTACCAGACGGGTGGTCTGTATGAAAATAAAAATGTACTCAAGGCCAAGGACACAGTTCATTCCCGTACGGACCGACTGGTATATTGCTTACTGTTTCCAGTTTTTTCCGCTGCTTTTTTTTTCTTTCCACTATGCTGGAAATGGAGCGGAAAACATCCAGGACCGTAGTCAGTATTGTAAGCTGGACCGGTTACGAGCGCGCCACTAGCTAGTCAGATTCGCAGTTTTACGATTCTGGCCAAATAAAATGCTTCAGAAAGAAAAAAACAAATTAGCACATTCTTCCGTTGATGTTGTTCATTTATTGTAACTTNATAGCAAACAAATTTTATCTGAAGCTGACATAGCAATGTGGAAGTGAAATATTGAATGTCTTACTAAACGCTGGCGTGTCTTGTATTAATGTGAATGTCAGTAATCAGCTGCTGACACCATCTGCTGCCAACAATGGACCAATGGATTGTATGTAACGAAGGGATATCCAAATTAAAGAACTTATCACTGAAAATCCTTTTTCGAACTATGTGAGTCAGTAGATGTATATATGTTATTTACCAGACGGGAGGTCCGTATGAAAAAAAAAAAATGTACTCAAGGCCAAGGACACAGTTCATTCCCGTACGGACCGACTGGTATATTGCTTACTGTTTCCAGTTTTTTCCGCTGCTTTTTTTTTCTTTCCACTATGCTGGAAATGGAGCGGAAAACATCCAGGACCGTAGTCAGTATTGTAAGCTGGACCGGTTACGAGCGCGCCACTAGCTAGTCAGATTCGCAGTTTTACGATTCTGGCCAAATAAAATGCTTCAGAAAGAAAAAAACAAATTAGCACATTCTTCCGTTGATGTTGTTCATTTATTGTAACTTTTGTTTCTCTTGCTGTTTGAAACAACTGTTAGAAGTCAAGGCAAAAGAGTACCCACTCCAAAGGACGATTGTGAAATAAATTTTAGTACTATCGTATTACGCAATTAGATGCGGCATGCTAAAGACGTAGTAACTGGTGTTTTTAGCCTTGTTGTAAGTGCTTAACGTGTTTCCATAAATCTGGTAGCCATTTTTGATTATAATTTAAAATATTGTCTGAATTGACTGGACCTCAAAGATGAGGTCCAAGTTACGCCGGGGTTCTCATCACAAAAAAGAGTAAGTTAGATATAGACTAAATTTTTTCCCAAGTGCCTGATCTAAATGTTGATTTGCATGGGTTTTTATTGGACACCAGCATATAATTATCCTCTTTGCTTACCATAGGTGGACGACGAAGGCTCGGGAGACGAAAATCAGGAAGTAGGTTTTTTTACAATTTGATGTTCTGGTCGTCGAAACTCCTAATTGTCTCCTCAACAGCGAAATATCGCTTTGTTTGAATAGGTGCAAATCACCCCAATCATACTTTGCTAAGAATTTTCTCAATAGAAGTTTGCAATTCCACTTTAATTTTAATATTGACTGAGGAAACTTTAATTATCAAAGACAAGAATGAATGTCTTGGGAAAAAATTTTAATGATCTCAAGTTTTCTGGTAATAGCGAATTTACTAATTTACTGAGTGTCTTGGACATGTAGTCTACGCCTTATTGATCACCGACTATCATCATTAAAATATTATTGTTTCTAATTTTTAGGACGAATAACTATCAGATACCATGGACGACGTGTTGTAATTAGAAGAGGAAAGAGATATATCGTTCGCTTTGGCCGAAAGAAGAAGATCATTCGACGATTCGTACGTAAAATAAAAATCAAATTGTTACGAAAATACAGGAAGATAAGGCGCATTCGTCGCCGTTGGCGTGTGCGTATAAGGCGACGTTGGTGTGGTCTACGAAAACGCGGTAAGCGCTGGTTTTATCGTTGGCGGAAACGTTGGCGGAAAATAAGACGCGTTAGACTGACCTGTCGTATAAGAGGTCGAAGACGCAGAGTTCGACGCCGACGAGGAAGATGGCTCGTTCGAGTCAAAAGGCGCTGGAGACGTTGCAAGCGTCGCGTCACGAGGTACATCAAGTATCGAAGAAAGAGGGTCATCGTGAGAAGAACCAGAAAAGGGTATCGCGTACAAAGGAGAAATGGCAAATATGGGAAAACAAGGAGGTTCAGAATTACATACCGAGGTAAGTATCGAATAGGTTTTAGGGATAAAAGAAGGGAGAAACAATAAGAAGGTAATCTTTTGAGCTAACACGCTATTCATTGAGCCACGAAATGCTTACAAAAGGCAAATGTAAACACCTCGAACACTCGTGGACCAACATCCTTGGATTGACTCCATGTGTCTCACTGAAAAAACCCAAATTGAGCGAACAAATTTTATCTGAAGGAGGCATAGCAATGTGGAAGTGATATATTGAATGTCTTACTGAACACTGGCGTGTCCTGTATGTTCTTTTAGGTAAACCAGGAAAAGTAGAAGAAAAAATTGTTAGTTAGAGGACTTAATCCTACTTGTAGGTGTGGCAAGTGCTTGCTAATCTCAACAACTTACATATTTTTGCTTTACTCTAATAGTGACGTTTTGATGTGTTTAAGGTTACGGAAGAAAGAACCGTAGAATAATAAGACGGAAACGACGACGAATCCGACGAAGAAATCGTCGTAGAAGACGTCGAAAACGGAGGTATCGAAGACGAAAAATAAGGAGAAGGAGAAGGCGACGCAGGAGACGAAAACGTGAGTGATCTTTTTTGGGGAGGTCACAATTTCTTTTAAGATGTCACCTAACCATCTTTCAGGAAGGTGTGCGTCCGGATGAAATACACTTAAGAAAGAATGATGGAATTTTTTTCTTTTGTGCTGCGATGGTTGTAGTGTTAGTATGCCTCAAAAACGACTGAAATGTCTTCTGAAGTTTATGTAATTACCTGCCATTCCCATTTCCCGTGACATAATGCAGTAAGATGTGTACAACTTAAAGACACTGTAGTGCAACAGTGAGAAGCCTTGATTTTTTTTAATGAGTCAGGTGCGTTATTTTAATAATGATAATGATGATGATGATAATGATAATGATAATGATAATTTAATATTTATTTTGCGCAAATTAACATGTGGATATGATCAAATTTGCATCCCGACACTTTTCGGGGGACTTTGGCCGGACTGCATCAGCAGTTTACAAACAATCGAAGGAAATTGTTTACAAACAATCGATGTTCATACCGTTTTGCTTTTAGGAAGGACACTCGTTGTTTACCGCGGACGTCGTAGGCCAATAAGAAGAAGGCCAATATTAGGGCTCACTTGGAGGAGAAAGGTGAGGCCACTGGCTCGCCTGACAGTTTACGTCAGGGGAAAGTACAGGCCACTCAAGAAAAGAGGTCGATATTGGTATACATTCATCACCCCACGATGGGTTAGAGTCACCAGAGGAAAGAGTGTTTGGTATTACCGTTACGGACGTCGCTGGTTGAAAATCAAACCCGTCAGGCTTTCTGCGCGTGTTAGACGTAGGCGATGCCTTATACGACCTCGTGGACGTAGGCTGTACGCTCGCATCGGGAGGCGTTACAAGCGTGTAAAAACACGATTCATACGCTATGTCCGTTTCAAAGGAAAACGATTTAGAGTCAAGAGAAAAGGGAGGAAGGTTATACTCATCCGTAAAGGAAGACGGACTCGACCTCTGGGAGTAATACGTTTCCGTAAGTGAAAGATTGTTTTTTTGACATACGAACGAGCTCAGTTTACTATAGCTCGGTTTTCAAATGTGTCGTTCTGATGATAAGCACTCTCGTTAAAGTTTAAATGAAAGTTTACCATATCCCCGATTTCAAAACTTTCTTGGAAGAGTTAGCCAATTTTCAGTAGCCCGCTATCTGCGTTAGCTTGAAATAAAGGGTTGGTGATAGATATTGAGAAACTTCGGAAACAACCAAACAAATTTTTGTTCATGAGAGGTCCCTTTACTTAATGAGTTAAATCCTTTAGTACATTAGAAATTCTGACAATAGTTGTTTGAGAATGGAATCGTTATGTTTTACACTTTCGCCCAATTGAACGGGTCTTGTCGAAACTTTGATGAGGTTCGATGAAAGAAGTCGTAGACTGACAACACTGCCATGCAGAACATTGTAATGCATCGTTTATGACTCTAGCTAACGTTAAAGTTTAGAAACTGTTTTCACACCAAAAGCATAGATATTGCAATCTGTCCGTGGTTGAGGAATCAGATTTTTGATGTAAAGGTCGTTAGGTAAAGTTCATTAGTTTCCAGTAGTTTTTTGTTGAAGGAAAGTCAAATGATTCCTAATATCCTCCATTTGTTTTTGCACTTACAGACAAGAGTCTTGCCACATTAAAACCGCATAGAAAGCGATTGTACTAATAGAAACGTATTTATAATTGTAGGACGTTATAGCCGAAAACTTGTACGAAGGAGGAGAAGAAGGAGAGTGCGCAGAATCAGACGTCGGCGGCGAAGGGTGATCAGAAGAATCAGGCGGTACTTCAAACGAAAGCGACGGCGAAGACGAAGAATACACAAGCGACGGGGACGAAGAGGTCGTCGAGTACGAAGTACGTAGTTTTATTATTCCAGACCTGTTGTAAATTCCGAAAAGTTACCCTCCCTTGAGTGAATACCTCCTGAACATTTCCTTAGAATGATGACCTTAACCCTTTCCCCCCTGCTTCCCTGTTGCGGGAAAATCAAGAATAACAGCTTCTTCCTTGAATCAGTCTACCCACCCCTCCCTTACCCTTTTATAAAAGGGAGACAGTAAAAGAAAAAAAGACAGAAAGGAAGGCTAAAAAGAAGACGACGAATAGGAAGAAGAAGACCAGACTTGTCTTCAGCGTTGATCTAGCGGCATTTTTTTACTGTCAATCATAACGTGAATCATAAATGACATCAGCGAGGGGCAACTTACCTTACGCAAGAAGTCACATTTGTCAAGTAATCATGAAAATTGCTCAGTTTATTTACGTTTTAATTCTTCTTTGATAGGGATACTCAGAGTGAGAGTGGAAAGTCAAGGCTATGTTGATAAAAAACGCGGACGCACTTTGCACGGACGCTCGCGGGCCTACATCAGAGTCAATGGGAGAGATTATTCTCTACACAGGCGTGGTTTTAATATTGTTCTTGTTAGCCATAAAACTGGTAAGAAACTGAGTTTCTTTTATTTTTTTCATGTACCAACTGACACTACTGTATTTTAGTTGTCAAATTTTCGCATTTGGACGCCGAGCGACGATCTGTTTCCGTAATAATAATAACAATAATAATAATAATAATAATAATAATAATTTAATATTTATATTGCGCAAATTAACATGTGGATATGATCAAATGCGCATCACAAAACTTTTCGGGGGACTTTGGCCGGACTGCATCAGCAGTTTACAAACAATCGAAGGAAACTTATTTGAAGATGCCCCCTCCCCCCAATTCCCAATAAACAGGCCAGACCACATCACAGTAATCTCGTGAGTGGGTTCCTTAACGTCCCCTGCCTAACCAAATTAACTATTTGATAGATGCAGGAGACGGAGTAGTATCTTAATTCCAGTGGTATCTTAATCTACATACTTTTCTGGGTATCATGTTTTCAGCTGTCAAGGTCAGTTATAATTCCTGGGCTGTTAAAGTGAAAATCTCAGAGATACCTACTCTGAACAGAAAGCATGCATGGTCTCACCATGTATTATGGAGCACTTTTCGCCGGAGTCTAGTAATAGAAAAAATCAACTAGATTGCAAAAGCCACTCAAAACAAATGTAAAAGATCATAAGTAGCAAAAAGGAACTCCAATCAAAAATATTATGGCTTAGGAAACTCCCGCTACTGTCTCGACCAATCATATTCAAAACTTGATTGGCTTAGAAAACTGCTCCAAGCGCGGGAAAAAGCGGGTGACAGAGACGCTTTTCATTAGTCGAAAGAGTGGCGCGAGTTTGCTATACCGAGGAGCAGGGATGGCGTAGTGGTGAGAGCGCTCGCCTCCCACCACTGTGGCCCGGGTTCGATTCCCGAACCTGGCGTCACGTGCGAGTTGAGTTTGTTGGTTCTCGTCCTTGCTTCGATGGTTTTTTTCCGGGTCCTCCGTTTTTCCTCCCTCCGCAAAAACCAACATTCCAAATTCCAATTCGATCTGGAAACAGTGGACAAGAAGAGCCACCTAGCAGAATGTCCATTGCTAAATTATTATTTATTTATTAGTTTGTTATTAGTTATTTAAGCCAATCACCAAGCAAAGTGAAGCAAAAACCCACGTGATTCTGGATTACTTTTGACACTGAATTAAAAATTGCTCTAAGGCTAAATCGTAGACGTCTTTGGGTTTAAGGATCTCATTGACCTTGGATGACACGAGACATACGTTCTTAGGGCGCGCACATAAACAGACCTGCTTGAGTCTTAAAAGTTGAGGAAAGGCGAACATCTATTGACAAACTAAGAAGAATTGAGATTAATAGTACGCGAAACTATTATTGGAACGTTCTTGGTGGTCTCTCCTGAGTCAGTAATAATTCCTAAGCGTATTTTTACCTCAGGAACTAACCTTCAAATACAAAATCTTGACTGCAAAATGACAAAATACTTGAAATTGAAAAAATTGTGCTCACTTGAACCTTAGGTTCTAATTATCTACACAAAGTTTAGCATTTGTTTTACAAAACCGCGTCTTAAACAACCCTCCATTTAGCTAAACTTTTATCTAAAAATTTATTTTTGTGAATGGTGTAAAGAGGTAAAGAGGGCCAAGAGCTAACAGTGGAAGGACATTTATTTAATTACATTAACCCTCTTATAGAGAAAACCTGAAGCCAACTTATTGCGTAAAACCGTGGTTTGGTTAGACTTCGCGTTAATAACCAGCTCTAAGCAATTGAATACTTCACAGTAGTTATATTGTTCAAGTTTAAATTCCTTTGCACCTGGCACGACGCTTATATATCTTCATAGCTAAAAGACAACTGAATTTGCAATCTGGTTATGACCAACAGGTCGTGTTTTGAAAAGAGGATATTTTGACACCCATGCCAGCCGTTATCAAGCAAAGAGATTCAAGAAGTTTATTTACAGCATCAGACGCCGGTATGTTGCGTTAACCTAAGTTAAAGTTATCGAGTTTCCAACAGTTTATATTGTATTTATCTCTACAAGTAGGGAAAGAGGTTCTGCCAGACATTCAATGATTTTTGTTCCATTGCCAACCGCTTGCGTTCTGCTATAACATGAATTTGTTTTCATTTATTGGATATTCTTCTCCCTTTTTTGGAAACCGTTAGGTTTTTTGGTTTAATTTCTGTTTGATTGCAATTTCGGATTATGGCTTGAAGCAGGACTTTCTTACTGCCTATTCCAATGCGATTGGAAGTTGCTTTTGGGATCAAAAATTTCCGAGAACTTGTCATCGATAACTAAGAGAGGTCGTTAAAATAACGAGAAAAAGCTAAAGCCAGGAAAAATCAAGTAAGAGTCGTGTGGAATCTGAAACTATTTCATCTATTACCTCAGCCATTTCGCTTATCCGTACTTCTAACTTAATTTTTTTCCCTCTCATCTCTCACCTTTATTCTCAAATGGTCCCCAAGAGGGCCTCGTAACCCAACGGATCCTACCTGTATTTTATTACCGAGTCTTTCAACTGAAATCTTTGGTAAATTTCTCAGGACGATTGTGTTACTTGCCATCCAAGATGAAGCATATCGGTTTGGAAAATATTACAAGTACGTCCTTAGAAGGCTTAACATCGACCCACGCAGAATAATACTCAGTTACAGAAGTAGTCTTGCCTTGATCGGCTTTGTTGGTCGGCGCAGACCATATTGGCTTAAATATATGAGTCGACCTCAAAAACGTGGCCCAAGTTACGCAGTCTCTCATATCCCACTTCGCCAAGGTATGTTGAAGTTAGCAGGTATTTAGAAACAGTCGCAATTGAATAATTTTGAAAGAAAGAACCGCTTAGACACTTGGCCTTTTTAATTACAGCAGGACACAGTGAACGCGACGTCATAACTGTGTTTATAGGCTCTTCTCAAAACACACCCAGTGAATTATGAGAGCGCGCCTACAGTTTTGAATATTTTGTAAATGTTGGTATATCTCTCGACTCAAGAGCAAGAGTCGAAGCTACGTTTTTTGTAAGAAGCATGGACGTGCTTTGGAGGGATGCTCGCGCCCGAACTACGTTGCGTCGGTGGAAGGAACGTTTTGTCTCCTCAGACATACAAGTTACATGAAAGGGCGTACACCCCGAAAGTTCTTGTTATAAAAATGCTTATTGTTTCTCATCGTGGTTTTACAGATAAATAAACATAGAACTATACATCGTAAGTGGATTGCTTGATATTGCTTGATAACGACTGTACTGTCGGGAAAAAAATCGAGTCACATTCCTTCCACCCCCC